ATGACTATGATAATTTTTGTAGAAAATATATAGAATCATTTTCTAAGCTTAATCTAATTACTAGTCAAATAGTGACATGTGAATTAAATTAAAATGAAGACAATACAGTAATAATTAGAAAAAAGAATGTTAGACAAGAAATTCCATCGTAATTACAAGGAGTTTGTATCCTACTTTGTGATAGCAATTTGATCTCATAATAACCCTCAAAATAGTTACACATAAATTCCATACAAAGTCAAAAACTAAAGGAACCAGCCACATAAATTCTTTTACCACTAAGATTGACTCTAACAATTCAACTCAATAACCATTCAACAATTGACATGTGTTAGATTAATTGAGTAAAATAATTAGATTAATTGAGTAAAATAAAAACTCTATTAATTATATTAAATTAAGTTAAATTAACCAAACATTCAATAATTTAAGGCAAGAATATAGAAGATATAAAAAATTACTGACCAAACTGAGGTTTGTTCCGATTAGTGTTGAAATTTAGTGTACAAAAAACTTCAAGAATAAGCTCCTTTAATCCAATTAAATTTCAAGTTTAATAATGATTTTTGATGATGAATGAATATAGAAGATGAATCTTAAATGTAGAATATTGATGAATAAGTTTGAATCGATGAACTTTGAATGATGATTGTGCTTGAATCGTGATGAACTTTAGATGAAGATTGTTGATGATAATGTAGAAATTATTGATGATAATATAGAATTTGTCGATTGATAATTGTAGAAATTGAATTGTGGCTAAGTTCCACCATTTTAAAACTTCAATATGAAGTTCTAAATGGTGATGAAGATGAACTTTAGTGATGGTGATGGAGTGAAGAAAAGAGAGAAATTGAGAAGAAAAATAGTGGAAAAAATAATGATTAATTGTGAATTTTTTAAGTTAGATTAGTCATGTTAACTAGGCCCCTAAAATGTGAAAAATAACATGTTTATATATACTTGGTAGATAGATAATTACCCTTGGATTGTGATTCAAGTAAGTTTTATCAATGGTTAAAAATTAATTTAATCATTAGTTGAGGATCATCAATTTCAACCATAGGATTAATTGTTAAGAAGTGTTAAGATTGAACGAAAAAATAAAAGTTGAGATTTGTGTTTGTTTGGGTGTTTTGAGTTAGTTTGGTAGTTAGGGGAGATAGGGGTAATTAGATAAATGCATGGCTTGTGGAGAAATATGTAGTTAAGGGTGGTTAGAGACCAATGGTGTTGGAGTTTAGAAAAAGTAACAAGTTAATATGTAAGGTAAATGATCACTAGTAATTAACTTGAATTTGAATGTTTTTGTCTTGATTTTTCTACCACTTTGCCTTGAACTTTTTGGTGACTTAACCCATGATTTTAAGTGTTTTTAAGAAGTGATTTTATGTTGAAAATAAACATTTTTGCCTTGTGTAAACTCATGGATTAAATTTTGAATTATTTGTGTATGAATCAATGTTGGAAAGTGTTGAAAAACAAGTAGTGAATTGTCGGAAACTAACACTTGACTTAATCGTGACACAATCCATTTTTGATGAATGATGATGAATTCCTTAATCAAATACTTGTAGAATAGGTCTAGACAAACTCAAGAATTAAAGTCGAGTCAATGGTCAACAGTTGACCTAAAAGTCAACTATCTGACCAAAATATCAACTATTAGACAAAAATGTCAACTATTTTCAAAAGATGTAATTTTTTATCCCCTTTCCTTGTAATCTGTTCTTTCAACTTGTATCTCAAGAAATATACAATGTATCGTGAATTTCTAGTAAGTTCCAACTTTACCCCTTTCATCAAATCCTAGCAAACTTCTGAATTGAGTGACAATCAGTCAAATCTCTTAACTAACAATAAATCTCAAATAAAGAGGTGATCCGCACCACAAGTAATGTGGAAAATAAACCTGAATAATTACCAAATAATATTTGTCTCGAAAATCCACTTGAACCGATTAAATCCATTATTGCCGAACTTTGACCTAGTGATTGTACTACGCAAAATGTGATGAATGGTATGTTAAATTCATGACCTAATTGAATGAATTGATGACCATGTATGCAAACGAACAAAACCATAAGTCAGATGAACTGAATGAGAAGGTAGGAGAAATTTTGGGGTATGACACTCGACAATCAAAAATCTTTCTAATCAAGATTTGAATCCATTAAACAATGAACAAAACATGATGTTGAAGATGAAAGAATTTAGTTTGCAAGAGATTTGAGTTTTCAAAATGGAAGTTGTTTTCACATAGTTCTGTACGTTATGCTCGTTATGTGAAAAATGTAAGGTGACAAAAGATTTATAGATGTTGGAGATATGACACAAAAATAGGTGAAAATGGTTGTTTGATTCGAGTTAAGAACGTTTGTTGATTTGAGTCAAGTGAACAAGTAGATTGGAACAAGATCAACATAAAGTAAGTGACCCATTTTCCTGTGATTCGAGTCAAGTTATAACTGTTATTCGAGTCATGGTCATATTTTGAGTAATGTATAAAACCATGATTCGAATCAAATTGGACAATGGCCAATAGAAAAATGTGAGAAACTGTGATTCGAGTCATGTTTAAGTGGTGATTCGAATCAAATTGGGCAGAGGTTAACAGGAATTGTGTGATTCGAATCAAATTGGGCAGAGGTTAACAGGAATTGTGTGATTCGAATCAGGTGTAACTTGTGATTCGAGTCACAAATGGAAAAGTCTTTCTGTTTTTCTCTATTTGAATTGATTCAATCAAGGTTTGTGAGTGATTTGAGTCACTCACATGAAATCTTACTTTTTAAGTTTTTCAAAATAGTTTAAGATTCTATTTGCCACGTTACTTGAACCAACATTAAATATAGTTCTTGTTCCATTAACTCAAACAATTGATTCAAAACATAATGATCATACTCAAAAGATAACACTTGAATTATGCATGCTAAAACAAATGGATTTAAAACTTAATCCAAAATTGTACAATTGAAGAGGAGACTCAATAAACAATAATAACAAACAAAAGCATAAGAGACATGTAACAAATCAGGATTAAAATTCTCCTCTTTAATATTTTAGAAACATGTAACTTCAAACTATGAGGAGTACTCGTAGCAATCACAATCTTCTTTACATCATTCATTTTCTTAGTTGCCCCAATGAAGACTTTGCAATAATTAAGTCATAGGTGTTACTTATCTAAGACATCTTAGAACTTAAGTCAAACATCTTATAACATAAGACATGTTAACATTAGAGAAATCACAAAAGAACTTTTTTTACAATGACTAAAAAAGAGCCATTTGTAATTTTTATCTTTTGATTGCTTTTACAGAGATTGTAAGACAGAAAAAGAGTAGTTTCACATTTCATATGGTCAATTCCTGAATTCAGTATCCATGTATGGTTAAAATTGACACTAACAAGAGTAGTTTAATTTTTTTATACCTTTTTTGGGCTACAAAACAAGGATTTTGAGATTCGAGGAATTTGTCTAGTTGTTCCTTTGTCAAATGAAAACTATGGACAGAAACCTGTTACTTTTGATCATAATAACAAGCTTGGATTGCACAGGCCTCACTTCCCCAATATTATGCCTTTCACTTCAAAAAGCTCCTCATTTAGGCCAGCCAAAAACCTGAAAATATGATCATTCTCTTGCCTTTTAATGAATAGAACACCATAGCAAAAATTCAATTCTTGCCAATGTCATCATATGTTATAATAGGTGGTCAAATCCTTGCAGCCTTGTCCAATGTCATCATAGCAAAGATTCAATTCTTGCCAATGTCATAGGTGGTCAAATCCTTGCAGCCTTGTCTAACATGCCATAGTTTTGATTTTAACCTGAAGAATTAAGAGCAATTTTCAATGTTGAGTATGTGTCTCTTGACGGCTTTCCGGAATTTCTTTGTAACTAGATGGTAAGAACATGAAAGATTTGGCTATTGTTGGTTCCAAAGGGTAACTAACAGATCAATATTTAAGGAGTTTTCAGACTTCCATTGTCTAAAATAAGAATCTCCTGTTGGTTTTTCCTTGATTCCCTTCGGAAATCTAAACTTTCTCTTGCCTTGTATTACCAGACAGACGTTTTGGGCACATTTGATATAAGTTTTTCCATTTAGTCATTGAACATTGACCTAAAGAGAGTTTGAGAGTGCCTCGTGGTCACTAAAACCGGTGCTGAGGTTGCTGTCATAACCACCTTTGAAGCACTGTAATGGGCCATCTCCAGCACTGGCACTGACGTTACCTCCAACACCAACACCAATGCTGCCTCCTGCAACGCCATCACTGACACCTCCTCTGCCTCTTCCAGTACCGTGTCCCACACTGATTCCGGCGCCACATTTGTCGCCACCTACACCCCTCATGCACAGTCTCCAGTCACCGGCGTCATCACTGGTACAGTCATGGGAAGAGCATGTGAGGTTGCCTGCAAGTATTTTGGCTATCCGTAGAGGAGTAAGAAAAAACAAATGAATGAAAAAGAAAATAGTGAGGGAAATGATGTTATACTTTATTCATCAGTCAAAGATTGTTTACATGTAGATTACAATCAATTCAAATCCTAGAATCGCGAAGAGATTTTAGGAAACTTTACAAAAGAAAATCTACACGAAATAAAAAAGAAAAGAATCAACTATCCAATAGTGTTCGTAAGAAAAGGATCCACCCTAATGCACTTCACCGTTAGAGACAAATAGAACAAAATAATTAACTGTCTTTTTCTTTCTTTTGATGCTAAACAACTGTCTATCATACTTGTGGTGCAGAGCTTCTAAAAGAAAACACCACGAACTATTAAGTCAAAACGTCATTACTGATTACTCTTAACAATGTACGATTGCAACAAAGAGACACATCTTTTTCCCCTTCCCTTTCATTATCTGAGCTTCAACTCTCTAAACCTTGCCAATCATGAATTGCTGTGATTAAAAACCAAAAATTGGACACGGCTTGAGTAAATCACTTTGAGCTATGAATAATGCAAAGCCTTCATAGAAAGCTCATTTTTCATGAACGAGGGGGCAATATTCAGGGTACCACATATTTCCTCTTACATACTCCAAAGTATCCTCCTGCAATGAAGCCAAAGCAAACAACCACAAGGTTAGCAGCAGCAGAATGAGTAAAACAAGGTTAGCATTGACATCAGAAGCATATATAGTATAACATAAGAGATATGATCAATTTTGTAACGGACTCTTCCTAATCTTGGTTGCTTCACTCTCCACTGATAGAATACAAATTATACCAGTCGACCCAACCAGAATATGCAATGTATGATCAGTGACTAATATGAAAGTTTCCATACTTTTGACATATGTTCAAGTTCTTTGGACCTAACACCACCAAGTCCTTCAGCTATCCCTTCAGCAACGGCGGCACGTAGAACAGCAGCCCCAACATCTGCTGTAACATTTCGTATACTGCAGTACAAAAGTAGAACTAATTTATTAGCTCCCACACACAACTATATACATCCATACCATTGTTTCTTTTAAAGATTTGGGTACACATTTTCTTAACCATATAAAAAAATATAGTTTTGTTTCCAAACACTATATTGTTACATGGTACCAAACTTGGATCAAGATCCTAATACAAGTGTGTCTAAACAAATTGATTTTTATTTCTTTGAAGTAGTTCAGAAACAGTGCTGTGGAAGAAGAGAGCCATGAGAAAACAAAAATCAAATGATAACAAGGAAAAAAATGGAGCAATACCAATCAATGGATGGATACAAGATTCCTTTTTTGATGTCTTCCTCTGTCATGTATGAAGCAAGGCTGTGAGGTTGACAGAATGTTAATCTCAAAAAAAATAAATATATATATATATAAATAATATGCACTTCACATATAATTTTAGAAGAAATGTGCTGAAGGTATTAGTGTAGAGCCTGTTGCAAGAGAGAGGGACTGCCATCTATGATAATATTATATATATTACATTTCAAAAATAAAATCCCCAACTGACATGCATTGCTTGGCTAGAAACATCAAACAAGATAATTAACTAAACTTCCACTGGAGCGGGATTATACCATTCAGATGCCGCCTGCAACATTCCATCTGTTATAAGACGAGCACCAGACAGAAGTGATCCCAAGCCAATCCTGAAATGGAAGGTTACAATAAAAATTACCCCGACATTTTCATTCAGAGCATGATTCATGAAAATTTATAAGCCCACACCCTACCCTGGAAACAGATACATGTTGTTGGCTTGATTTACATGGCCAACTCTTCCATTTCCTGTACAAAAATTAATTTGGAGGTAATGATAATACATGATAATGAACAAATCAACCAAACTTTCTACCAACATGATGTATATCCTATATAGCCTCCATGTCTAAGAAATATATGAAAATGACAAGATATTTCAAAGCCAAAAGATCATATTAAGAGGTAATTACCAAGATCTACATTTTCAAAAGGGCTTCCACTTGCAAACACTATGTTTTCTCCAGCTTGATTAAATGCATCAATAGCAGTGCACTCAGCTGTACCAATAAGAACAAAAAATATCAAAATGAAAAACATGTACATAATCAAGCAATTTTGAGTGCTGAATAAACTTTGTAGAAACTAACCATTCATAGTGGGATTAGACATGGCAAAGATAGCTGGTTTTGTTGAAACAGATTCTCTCATTGCCTTAAGAACCTGAGTTGAATACCAACGATTAAAATAAACCCAATTACTGTGAAATGAATGGTGTAAAGTCCAAAGATGTCTAATCATGTCATTTTCAAAAATGTCTTGCTTTTAATTGTTTAATGCACTTCACCGAGGAAGAAGACAATGTCAGAGTGGTATTATAAAAGGTTACCTGCTCATTAAAAATACCACCAACCCCAGACAATCCAAGCAGTGCATGTGGCCTAACCTTCTTAACCTAAAGATAATTAGCATCAATAATTACAGCGTGCACAAGAACAAGTATGCATGTCTTTAAATTAGCATTATTAAAGTACTTCTTATATAAACATGTTTTTTTATGCTAACAACTTGTTTTTTTCCATACGTATAAGACTAAATCCAAAGGAGTTTTCCTTGAACAATATCAGTATCATTACCACATCAATAATACTGGCACCCTCTGCAAGCCCTTCTAGGTCTCTTGGATTTTTAGCAAATGGAACTGCAGCTGGATCTATATTACTCCTTTCTGTTGTGATAAGACCCTGAATTCAGGCATTATTTCATTACAGAGAGACTTAAATGATGTATTATATCAACAACTTTAATCAGATACATAAAGTTAAGTAACAATCCAAAATCAGGGGTGCCAAATTATAAATTAAGACAATATGACGAATGAGAGCATTTGGATTAAAAATGTTTGGTCAATAATCATGAAGTAACAACATTATACAGGATTATGATGAATGATGATTATGGGGGTGCTACAACTTGAAGCTCTAATAATGCAACTTTACAAAGAGAGAGAGTGAAATCATACATCTTTATCAAGTAAAAAAAAAAGGCTTTTTGCTTCGGTTTCACTGCACCCTGACATTCTTGAAACTGCCTGGACAGCCATGTTAAGAACCCCAAGCCCTGCGCTGCAAGTTAGACAAAAAAATGTATCATGTAAGGCAGAATCGAGCAGTATTTTGGAAGCCATGTTAGGCAGAAAGTAGCGATAACGAGGAGTGTGATAGAACAACAAAACAAACTGAACACAAATAATTACATCACAATTAGTTTTGCAACTACCTTCCAGCTCCAACGATAACTATCTTTTGTTTCACAAAATCAGACAATGGTCGACCTTGGGCTCTTACAGTTCCCAGTAATCCAGCAAGTGCAACACCAGCTGTGCCCTATTGGACAAGGAAAATGATGGAAAATCAAAGTTTCAGTAGTTACTTAAGGACACAGCCCATTGCTTAACTGCTTGAACACGTATATCACATACTCACCTGTATATCATCATTAAACATGCAATGCTTTTGGCGATATCGTTTGAGGGTTTCAAAAGCCCACTTCATTTGGAAATCCTCAAACTGAAAAAATTATTTATCGTCAACCAGTTACTAGTTTAAACCTCGAGCATGTTCTAAAAGAAATGCAAACCTGAACAATAGCCTTCGGCCATCGTGCATGAACAGATTCCATGAATTCATCCATAATCGAAAGATACTCTTCACCTTCCAACCTAGGTTGTCGAACTCCTAAATCTGTCACATGAAAATCATGTCAGTACACACACTGTAAAATGCAAGGAATTAGCATGTTTGCTTTCTTCCTTCTCAAAAGACCAACAAAAGTGGCAGAGCCATTATAAAACCATGTAATCTGGATGCTGAAAAAAACGAAACCTCCCTCAGTTTATAAAGCAAGTATGTCCCCAGAAAATGAAAAATGAGACAATACAACCAAGAAATAAGCAAACAAAATATCTAATTGAATGAATTTTACTTACAAAGGGGATCATCAAGTAGCTTTTGATTGTTTGTTCCGACATCCAGCATGATTGGAAGTATCTACCATAGTTGGGGAAAAAAAAGCATACAGCGTAAATTAAAGAGAGATACTGGCCTCAACAGGTTCCAGTTAAAAGTGAAAACATAATTTAAATAAAATTATAATCTAAAACCAATAATTTAAATTTTTAATATATAAATTAGAATACATTCAGAATGCACAAGTTGGGGGAAAATTGTAGGACAAAGAAACACATACTCTTTGTGGGTTGATACCGGCAGCTGCAACATACATATCAAGTTTTCCTACAGGTATTCCAATGCCCTGAACTCCAAGGTCACCTAACCCAAGAATGCGACTACCATCTGTCAAGACAATCATATCTACCTGCAAAGAGAAACATGATGATTAAGACCAACACTAATAAATGAATAACACAATCCAGGAGCAAGAATATAACTTAATGAATCAAAAAACTCATAAATTGCAAGAAGGCATATAGTCACATAACACTGCATCCATTAACTGGGACATTTACCTAAATCATTTCTACAAATTTGAAAATAAGTACCAATTTTATGTATGGCAGTTGCTTAGACAGTACAGAAGAATAAAATAAACTAACCTCCTCTATATTTTCCTATTTTCACCTACACCCCCTCTATTTTATAAATCCAATACTTACACGCACCTCACTCTAGCTTGGTATATTTGTGAAAATTCAAAAGAATAAGAATATAAAAAGAAAGTATAGCAAGAAACATGTCTAACAGAAGTCCTCGATGCTACTAATAAAACAGAGAATATTTGGTGAAGCTAAATGGACCTAAGATAAATAAAATGCAAGATCCTGCCCATTTGAACTTCATTTCATCTATCAAGAAGTTAAAATTTTACTAAATTCATTGACATAATTTGTTATGTTCTGTGAGAGATGTGATTAGAAGCTTCGTCTAGCTTCCACTGCCACCTCAGCATAACTAACTCAGAGTTAGTTATGTCTAAGTATATATGCTGGAAGATTCCTATAGAAGCTTCTGTTAGCTTCCCTTGTCACCTCAGCATAACTAACTTAGAGCTAGTTATAACTAGGTGTAGGCTAAATCACTTTGTTGTGTATGATTAGGATGTCTATATAACTCCTAATCTACTTTGTAACAAACCCAGAAAATCAATAACAAAACATCAAAAACAAATGAATCAATTTTCTCTCTCTTTTCTCTTATCTTACATGTTCCAACCCTCACAAACTTGAAAAACATTATGTAGATGTTCCATTTCAATTATGAACTAAAAGAAAAAAGATACAGTATTTACTAAGATCAATTCAATACCTGAGGAGCTGGCCAGTTATAGATCATTGACATCATCTCTCCTTTATCTTTAGCACTAAAATACATCCCACGTGGGCGTCTAAATAACCCGCAATAATTTTGACACACTAACCCAACTGTAGGAGTATAGATTATAGGAGCAAATTCTTTGATGTTGTCAATAAGAGCCTAAACAGAACCAAAGTTGACAGCATAAGAATCATTTAAAAATAAATATTAGCACATTTCCACACAATAACAACCCAATTTCATCATCAAACTCACTCTAAAGTACAGAGTTTCATTCCGGTCATGCAGTCTATTTAAGATCCTCCATTTGGATAAGGAAACAATGTCAGCCGATTGGCCACGGGTATTCTTCTCCAATGATCTATACGAGCTCACTGAAAAATTAACATAACAATAAGTTATAGCTATCAAACATTCAAAGTTAAAAATAAACATTGAAGAACATATGGTATCAGAAGAGTATGCATAAAACTTACTAAAACGATCATATTGCTCCTGAAATGAAATGATACGAGGCGGAAGAAGGCCTCGAAGCCCTAATCGATCCCTCTCGGTTAAAGGGAATCCAGTATCCTACATTTTAGGATTGAAAACACAAATCAAATATTTAAAAAAATGAAAACATAATCAGAGAAACAGATTATGAGCGCTCTCAAAATGGCAAATCAAGTGGAAGAGGAAGATAATGAACCTTGTTGAACCAAGGATCATGAAGAATATCAGCCCCGCGTTTATGAACCATACACGCAGCAGGAATCGCCGTCGAGAACAACCGTAATCGTGACGCGGAGAATCGCGTGAGCTTCCACATTCTTCGAAATTCTTTAAAATTCTTCGAAATTCTTTAAAATTCTTCAAAAAAATTTCTAAATCAAAATTGTGAACGAAATTCAAATCAACTGCATCAAGATCAAAATGAAGTTAAAATTCAATGCTATTTCATTTCTTTAAAAAAAAAATCTCAGTCGTGAGAAGTAGCACCTTTTTCAGGAGAAATGTTTTGTAGGTGAGAATGGAGGTAGGCTTCTTGAACAGAGAGCGCGAGAATTTATAGTGTGAGAAGCTTTCTCTCTCTAACTTTCTCTCTCTTTGTTTGTTTGTTTTCTGTTTCTTGCTGAGATAGGTGAAAGAAACAGTTTGAATCAGTTGTTGCAGGTGTTACCCGATTTAGATTCGGGCAGCGTGGAAATATGGAAAATGGACGTAAGAGGAAACTGCCCGATGAGAACCGGGCAGAGGATAGTAGGGTCGATGTAATTCGATGGTGACTAACCAAAAATAATGATTTCAATAATGCCTACTTTCCTTTTTCTCTCCCGTCATTAATATTTAATATCAATACTCATGTTTAAAATAAATTATCAAACTTTTTTTTTTTTTTAAATGTCAAATCTATAACTTAAGGTAGTATATCTGCTAAAAAAACATATGGCAGAGAGTTGAATTGACCTATAGTACTAGAGGAATTTTTTTCTATTAAATTTATTAAATTTTTTGTATTTTTTTATTACTTTAGAATATAGTTACAAAAAGTGAAATGTTGTATTTATGAAACACGATAAGGGGGGAGTTAGTTTATTTATGGCTACAAGAGGCATTGTATATTAGGTATTACATGATTAGTTAAATAGGGAGATAAATAATTTTGTTAAATAGGGAGATAAATAATTTTTTGACAAGTGTATGGGAGTAAGTGGAACACATTTGTTCTTTGTCAATATTGGAGGGACAATTTCCTCTTTGATTGTCATTACTTAACCACGTTTCTCATAGACATCTTATAGGTTAAGTGTGACAAAACTGATGAAGCATGAGCATAGGTGTGGGTTGGGTGACTTAGGTCTAATTGGGAGACCAAAGAGTGTGACTACTTGATACTCTAGCAATTCTTTTTGCATGTTTTTGCCATGAGTTATTTCTTTATGGTCTAAAAAAGTCATAACAGTTCATAATCCCTAAAGCTTGAGTTTTGGAAAGGGTTAAGTGATTAAATTAAACAGGAAGCGATCTTAGAAAAGTTTATGGTAATGAATCCTTCAGGAATTGCTTGGGACAAGTCTCATAAGCGTTGCTTGGGGCAAGTACTGCTCACTATGAAGCGTTGATTACATGCATGCGAATATATTCGATCATAGATGCTTTCCTTCTCCAACTATTTGTGTATGGTTATGTTAAGGCAATGATGGCCTACATGACCTATGAAGTTTCCTTTATAGTAATAGGTTTATGCCATATTCTTCTTTCTGTTTGTAGGACCTATGACACCATTGACTATCGAACAGAAAAAGACCCATCATGCCAAGCAGAAGGTCACTCAAGGAGAGAGAGAGAGACAGTCCGACAATCCTCACAACCGTCAGAGCTGCTTGTTGGGAAAGGGAAAAAGAAAGATGGGCAATGGAAGAACCATAATCTCCACCCACCTTTTGAAGATTGTGCAACCACTTCTAGCTGGGCAGGTGAGGTTTAATTCTCAAAGCCACCCTACTAAGGACGTGCAACTAGGACACAACATTGATTTGGATGCACAATCAGAAACTATAAGTCTGGATGCAATGCCCAAAAAGAGGAAGACTTCCTCGACTCTTGATGACGACAAAGCTTAGTCCCTCTAGGACGAGAATTTTAACGCCAAGATTTGTGCAAACGCGCTTGGATTTTCGTAATGATCATAAAATGATAGTTTATATAAGAACATGTCGAATACGCTAAAAACTTCTATGTTAAATGGGTTTTAATTAGAACGCATGATTTTTATGCCTACTATCAATCTAACAAGATGGTTTTTGGCTTGAAAATCATGTTGAACACTCAGCGGAAGGCAACAACTAAGGCTCAGGATTCTCTAAAGAACGTGAATGGCTAAAGGAGACCGAGATAGATAAAGACGAAGTGAATAAGAAGCTTAGCGAAGAGCTCGCTCGAGTGAAGGTTGAGTTGGCATCGTAGAAGGAATCTACTAAGGCAGAGGCTCTTCTTAAGAACACACTTGAGTTTGTAACTTTACCTAATCAACTTGCAGATATTTTTATTAAACATCTTCCAAAGGAAAACTTTTTTTTTATAAGATTAGAACTAGAAATCTTAAATCAATTATGCATGGATTAATATGTTAAATTGTCTTTTCTCCTTCTTCTTCCTCCATTTCTCAAAATGATTTATGTGCATTATTTGTTTTCCCGTATTTTTTATTATGCCAAATGGGGAGAAGTATACTTTTAGAAGGAGTAGAGTATATTTTCTACTCATGTAAGGGGGAGTTTAACCACTCAAAACTTTACTTTTGTGTTTTCTCTTTTACCATCTCCCTAAGAGATGCATTGTCATCATAAAAAATAAGGAGAACGTGGATCTATGTGATTAACGTTGGTGACCTTCTTGGAGTTTTAATAACGTTAAGAGGGGATAAGCCAGTGTGATGTCGAAGGTTCGTGGCATAACCTATTAAATATCAAAGTTATAGTGAGACTCTCAAGAAGATCTCCTGGGGACAAAATTAGGTCAACATTCAACTTAACCTGGTATAAATCTCGGCGTCATCTCCTTAACCCTATCTATTTAATTTCTTTCATTTACTTTACTGCTTTATTTTCTTTCCCTTGCATTTCTCTATAAATTTTCTCACCATTAACACAAGTTGTTGTTTTAAGTCAAATAAGTTTTTAATTTAATCACAAAATTTAAATACCACAATTCCCTTCCCCCCTTGTGCTTGAAGTTACTTGATCAACACATACTCCCAATACCACTTTGTACACTACACAACTTATCTAGTAGATCCTGAAAGGAAAGCAAGTAGACATATCTTGGGTTATATCTAAGAAGACGTGGGAAATAATTTGTTATCCACATAAACATGCCCTTGGATTTACAGGCTTCATGGGATTATGAAAACAATCTAATGTGGATATTCAAGACCATTATCATTTATGTTTGATGTAAAACCTGGATAATACCTTTGCCTTTGGCTAGTGCTTTGAATGAAGAAGAAGAAAACTGCAACCACTACCATAACCTCCTACTACACAATATAAGCAATAATTTGTAATGACACACTTTGCTAACATGGATCTAAATCTGAAAGCTTGCTTCACTTACAGTTGAGATGTCACAAATGCATATCACTGATGTATGTTTTTCATTAATGAATCCATGAACATGTTGTAATTTAGGATGCATGATCCATAAGCTCTGCATGAGTTAGTGCATGCTCATAAGGAATTTATTAGCTATCTTCAATGGCCTATAAATAGGCCATTCTACTCGGATTTTGGAGGTGGTGATACTAGCGATAATGGAGCAGAGAATGAGCACAATGAAGCTGCCAATGAAAGAGAAAATAAGAAAGAATAAGAAGAAGAAGAAGAAGAAGAAGAAGAAGAAGAAGAAGAAGAAGAAGAAAGTGAAGAGGAAGACAATGAAGAAGAAGATAATGAGGAAGGAGAAGACGGTGAGGAATAGGAAGAAGAAAGTGAAGAGATGGTTAGTGAGGGTGATAACTAGACTAATGATACATAAAAAGCTCCCAAACTTTATTGTATTGCATGGACTTATACTCCTCCTTCATTGCTTCATTCCATTTTTCTGAGTTGGAATAATGCATGGCTTGGCGGAAGTTGATCGAATCATCTTCCATCATACCATTATTTTCCTCACGTTCTTGGAGAAAGACTATATAATCATCCAAAATATCATTTCTCCTTTCTCTAGTGGATCTCCGCAATGGTATTGGTTCTTATAAGACTTATTCTTGAGGATTTTAAGTTTGTTCTTCATGAATTACCAAATCATCTTAAGTAGGAGGAAATTCAACAATGTCTTTTGGAGGTTCCATACTTGCTTTATTACAAGCAGCTTATGAATCCGTTTTGAAATTGTTACTGATTCTTCCTTGAAAAAAAAGTGTATAACCTTATTCTCCCCACAAACTCGATATCCTCAAAGAATATGGTTGTTCCCATCTCAAAAATTGAGTTTAATTTGGGGTCATAAAATTTGTATCCCTTAGATATTTTAAAATAACGAATAAAGTAGTTGCTCACTATTCGGGAGTCAAATTTCTTTTCATTTGGCCTATAAGGCCTTGCCTCAGGTGGACACCCCCATACATGAAAATGTTTCAGACTAGGCTTTTGTCCAGTCTAAAGCTCATAAAGTGTTTTGGGAGCTTCCTTTGTTGGTACTCTATTTAGAATGTAAGTTGCAGTCTTTAATGTCTCTCCCCGTAGTGACTCTGGCAAGGTAGAACGATAGATCATACTCTTTACCATCTCCTTAAGAGTCTAATTTCGTCTTTTAGCCACACTGTTTACGCTAGGTGACCCTAGTAGAGTGTACTGTAGGACGACTTCACATTCCTCTAGGTATTTGTCAAAGGCTCCAAATGTTTTTTATAATCAAATCCAATATATTCAATAGGAGCGCAAGAAGCAAACCAAACACTAAGAATTACAATACAACAGTATATCCCAACAACTAATCTAAACCCCACCCATGCCAAACTACCTTACAAGAAATCAATAGGGTACTTTGACCACTGATATAAACTACAAGCAATTCTATTACTAGAACCCAAAGAAACCCACCACTATGAAGTAGGCATAATTTTATGGATAAGTTCATCCACACAACCTATCCCATCATTAAATATAATTTGATTTCTAACCCCCCCAAATGCACCAACAAGTGCAAAACCAAATTAAAGTTGTTGATTTCTTCGTCGATCTATGAACCGAACCAAGAAACTATTCCATCATTATAATCCATATAGTTACCTCTTTGGATCCAATGAATACCGACCCAAACCGATAT